AACATCTTGACCCAAGACCTTTCACCTGACTTACCTGGTCTTGCACAATATAGTACCTGTTTACCTCCACAATTTCTCCTCTTACTCCCCTGTACCCTTCCCTTACCCGCTCCTTTTTCATCTCTGAGCCCCACCTACACTGGACTTCAGATTCTTGGAAAAGTCACCTTTCCACCTCTTAGCTTTTGTTCGTGCCACGTATCCTACCTGGAATGCTCTTCTATCTTTCATCTTCAATTCCAGCCACCCCTCCCAGAGGACAGCCTTTTATGAGTCCCCAGGTTAGGGTTTTTCCTTCCTTTATTAAAGGTTCTTGTTAGCACCTTGAAATTTCTCCTCAAAAACTCATTACGATTGGTAATTATTGCTATCCATAAGCATGGAGTTTGTGATCATTTAAGTCTTTCCTACTGGGCTCCTCCATGCCTTCTCCTTTTTCTTCAATATCTATCACTTGCCCAGCACATAGGAGGCATTCAAACAAAGGTAAGGACTAATTCTCGAATGAATAAATGTGTCTCTGGAGGCATAGGCAGAACGCCATGGAATTATGTACTTAAAAGCAAGATTAGGCACGATTAGGCATCAAACATGATTAAATGTCATATTTGAATTTTGAAATGTCACAGTTAAAAAAATCGCCCCCCTCTTCAGTACTGAGGATTGAACACTGGGTCACTGCACCACTGAGCTGCACCCCTAGTCCTTTTTATTTTAATACAGTGTCTTGCCAACTCATCCAGGCTGCCTTTAAACTTTCAATCCTCCTGCCTCAGCCTCCCGAGTAGCTGTGATGAGCATGCGACACTGTACCCGACATGGGGATTTCTTACAGGGGGTGGTGGTGGAAACAGAAGGCTTAGAAAAGATTAAGACAAGAAAGAAAACAAACAAATAAACAAAAAAAGACAATGCAGAGACACAGGGCTTTTCAACCCAGCCTCTAGCATGGGAAAAGGTCGGAAGCGCTCCGCCAAGACCTTTGCCTTCCCCAAAACCCCTCCGTCAGGTGTTGGCAGGTCTCTCCTTTCTGGTAAGCATCCCCATGCATAATCTTGTCAGGGCGGTCGATTCCCAGATGGAGGGGAGGAAGACATTATTCATGTTTTATACACCAGGGAATATCTTCCTCCAAAGCCTCACTACGGAGCATTTTTCAGAAATCCAATTAGCCTGAAAAGTTATAATATTCAAGTCATGTCTTGTTGCCGGTACCTCCTGTAGACTTGGCGGGCGACTGTGCCAGCAAGACTGGCATGCGACCAATCTCTGCGGGGGGCGGGCCCGTGCCACCCGCTCCAGCCTTCTCCCCTGACACCCAGCAACGTGGAACCTCTCCACGTATGGCTGCTTCTCTTCCTCTGCTGCTAAGTACTGGCCCTTCTGCCAGGAATAGTTTGTCTATCGCTCATCCATCTCTTCTTTCAGGCTCTCTGTCCCCTGGACCAAGGCTTTCTTAAGATCCACCCTCGTGGGTTACATTAGATATTTCTCCTTAATGTTCCTCTTGTCCAGAGCATCCTGAAAACTGCGCGATCGCGTTTGGCGTTTGCATCTGTCCTCCACGCCAAGCCGGGGAAAGGAGGAAGTGTGCTGTTTTTTAACTTTGAACCTCAGCTGCCATCCCAGTGTGGAGCAAACATATTCAGTAAAAATTTGGAGATGTTGGCTGTGGCAGCGTTTTGTGGAAATTTATTTGGCACCCTGAGTTCTTATGACAATATTTCAAATTGCTTACAATGATCTATATAGGACAGTGATATGATAAGAGTTTAAAAAAAAAGAGCAGAGATAAAAACATTCAGAAATAAGGTTAAAACTAGATACCAGCATAACTTAAAACATTTTGCAGTGTGAATTTGCCTTAAAATTTGCCACAGGCTCCTATGAGCCCACATAAAATAGGAAATTATTTCTCTGATTCTACTTTCAATTTTCGTAAATTTTTAGAACATCAGTTTCTCAGATTTGGTTTTCATATTTAAATGAAACACATTTTTATTTTTTAAGTGGCCTTATTATTTCTTATACGAGGTAAGGCAGTTGAGGGAAGTGTTTAAAAGGCATCTGAGCTGGGTTGGTGGTGCCCACCTATAATCCCAGCACTCTTTGAAGCTGAGGCAGGAGGACTGCAAATTCAAGCCCATTCTGGGCAACTTAGAGACAGTGAGACCCTGTCTGAAAATTTTAAAAGACCAAAAAAAGACAAAAGGCCTGAAATAAACCTCAGAGTGAAGGCCTTGGGTTTAATCCTAGTACCTTGGGGTGGCATTTAATTTTAGGGTGATATGTGAAAACCTACTGCTTATAAAGTTTTCAAAATGAGCATAAATAAAAATGTTTTCATATGCATGTATATAGGTAATACTTTATAATACTATTTATAGACTTCACATGGGCTTTGTGGTGTGTGTATGTGTGTGTGTGTCCCCTTTTCTTTTGTTTGAATTGGGGTCTCACTAAGTCATTAAATTACCCAGGCCAGGCTCAAACCTGTGACCTTCCTGCCTCAGCCTCCCAGCGTTTTGGGACTACAGGTGTGCATAACCACACACAGCTAACATGGGTTTTTAAATACCATCCCAACGTGCTCTGTGAGTAGGCATTTGACCAATACTCGTTAAAAGCCTGTTTAGGTGCCAGGCGTGGTGGAGCATGCCTGTAATCCCAGCACTTGGGAGGCTGAGGCGGGAGGATCGCTGTGAGTTCAGACCAGCCTGGGCTACACAGCGAGTTCCAGGTCAGTCTCAACTACATAGTGAGACCCTGTCTCAAAAAACAACAACAACAAAAAAAGCCTGTTTGTGCAGAGTGTCGTGGTAGCAATCTTCTCTCCCATCTGCTGGCACACTTGTATTAAGGATACAAACATCATAATGAATGGTTAAATTTTAAATAAACAGCTTGTGATACTTCCTTGCAAAGCTGTTGGTTATGTATGTGTTATTTTTGTCGACTACTAAAATTGCCCTAGTCCTTGTTCTTAGCATTATGCAGCCTGCTAGAAATGACCAGTGGTGCAGTGCACGAGTTGACAGCCCAGCTGTCAAGGAGCAGGCACAGGTGGGAGGTGCGATTTCCAGGCCACCCTCGAGCCCCTCACAGCTCCGCAGACTTGCCTGGCAACCCTCAGTGTTGTGCAGCGTAGGGGCCAAATGCCATCTCGGTGGGAGCAAACAAGTCACGATCAGGGATGTGAGTTGTCCTCCCCTTCTGGTTGATTTTTTTCCCCTTTTTGGGAGAAAAAATTTTCTGTGTGATTCAACCCTTCAAAAACCTTTAGATTTCCTGTGTTTCCTAGATAATTGCTTTTGCCCAACCCAGCATCATTTTAGAAACGATTCATCATCCAAGTAGCTGTTCTTTGATCTCTAATAAGCAAACTTCTTATTGGTCTGGGCTTTTGCTCAGTGGCACCGCGCCTGCCTCAGAAGCACAAGGTCCTGAATTCGATCCCAGATAAGGAAGGAAGTAAGGAAGGAAGGAAGAGAGCCTCTTGGCTGTTTCCAAAATAAATTTAGTTAAATCTGAATCTTAGAGATACAATAATTTGCTTATCCCCATATAAAAGTTAAATCTATTGATTTTTTACATTGTAATGTCTGACCTTTATTATCTGAGCACAGACAAATTAATACAGGATATGGAAAAGGAACAATCATTCTGCGTTTCAAGCTAATAATCTAGAAAGAAACACAGGTCTCAGTTTACCCCATACTCAGTTTACCCTGAAACGGAGAATCTGCTCAGACAGAGCCTGTTTGATGAGCTGGAAAGGCGTACTATTTGCTATGACTAATGCTTATTATGTTATATGATGAAGATATATGTGTAACATTTAACAGAATGTCAAACTTTCCTAAGGAGAAAATTAGCTTACCTCGAAAAAGCCTCGTGAACCCTGGCTTCTATGAACAATGGCAAACGGTCTGGAGATCTAGTGAGCCGACTGTCTGGGTGGCTTTGCTTTGCAATGTAGACAAGAACTTTGTGGGGAGAAATAGCACCGCCAGAGCTTTCCAAATGTCTGTGAAGAACACATCCTAAAAGAAAATAAGTTGCTTTTCCACAGTATAGCAGAGTGACAAAAAGCAGGAAGACAGTCCACCAGAATTTCTGAAGATGTCAATGGCTCTATTAGGTTTGATGTATAGATGCCTCCTTGAAAAAACTTTCCAACATTTCTTTTTCCAACAAAAAACAGTAAACCACTGGGGTTCAGCTCAGTGGTTCTGCCGTCTACCTCATAAGCGCAAGGGCCCCGAGTTCAATCCCTGTGCCAAAAAGAAAAAAAAAAAAAGCTGACACATATACAAAATCCAGGAAAAAATAGTAAACAACATGTACACAGAGATTAAAAGCTAAAAAGTAGAAAAATTATACTTCATTATGGTCCTTTCCACCCGCCTGGAGCTCACAATTAATGCTTCCCCTCAACTCTACCCCATGAACTTTAAAGTTATATAGCCTTTGTGTGTGTGTGTGTGTGTGTGTGTGTGTGTGTGTGTGCGCGCGCAGCCTGACAATTTTCAATGCTTATGGAATCAAACATAAATATTATTTTTCCTCCCTCAACTTCTCTGCAACAGAACTCATTCCAATTATACAAAGCTTTTTTTTTTTGAGAAGTTACTCCTTTTAGAGAAGTAAAATGAACTTCCTTGCAAAAGTTACATAACTGGGCCAGAGATTTAGCCCAGTGGTTCTGCTGCCTGCCTCGCAAGCCCAAGGACCTGAGTTCGATCCTTGGTGCCAAAAAAAATAGTTTACATAACTGATACCCACTGCGACTTCTTCAGCTGTAGCCTGAAAACAGTGACCGCACTCTTGGGACAAGATTAGGGAACTTGCTGTGCCAGATTTGTCAGAGCTAAGAGGGCACATGATACAGCACAGATGCTTTGGAATTTGGGGTTATTTATGACATGTGGGAGCAGTCTTTGGAAATAATGACTCAAATCTTTCAGACACGATCAAAGAAGGAATCCCAGAAACAGAAGCACACTGCAATAGTTAATTTTATTTGTTCAAGAGCTCATACTGCAAGCATTAAACCAGCCCGGGCTTTGATTCTGTGAGCTCCTATCAAGATATTAAGGAAGAAGCAAAGTAGGACCCATGCATGTGGATGAAGGCTACAGGCTCAGGATTAGTCACAGGGTAGTTTTTCGACTTCTACAGCCTGGAATGCAGCAGTCACAGGTCTTTCAGGTCCTTCTGGATGTCCCACAGGGTATCCGCACTTTTCTTGAGCTGGGCAACCTCTTCATCCTTCAGCTTCTGGTTGATAACGCTGGTTAATCCGCGAGCATTCAGGATGCAGGGGAGGCTCAGGAAGACTTCATTCTCAATGCCGTACATGCCCTGCAGGAGCAGCGAAGGCACTTAAGAACATGGCAAGCCTCACTCAGGAAGACTGATCGCACAGCTAGGAACAGAAAGAACTCCAGGGACTGATAAGCATGCATGCACCCTCTCTAACCAGATTCTCATCACCTCCAGGTCTATTTCTCCTGTACCTTATGCTTTAAAGTGGGTTTTATGCAGGAAGTATGCAACATATACTGTGATAAGAACAGAAAGCTGGAAGAATGATTGTATTGAATTATCCCAAATATGTTTTAGTGAAAAATACTCTCCACTTGAACACACTTTTAGTAAAATTTGACAGAACTCCTCAAACTTTTAATAAAATTTGACAGAACCTTTCAAGTGACTTTCACGTGTGACTCTTAATGGATTACTTTCCATGAATCCTTAAATTTCTTATGGATTTTTAGTTTAATAGATCGTAAGCCGGGGATTTAGCTCAGTGGTTCTGGCTCCTGCCTTGCAAACACAAGGACCCAAGTTCAATCCCCGGTACCAAAAAAAAAAAAAAAGAGTAAATAGATGGTAATGTTTAATAGGTAGAGAGAACAACAGGTTATGTCCACCTAGGAGATGTTAATAACTGGAGGCCACTAGTACAAAAGATTTAAGAGTAGTAGTTTCTAAAATACTTTACCAGTTTATATAAGGTAATTTATTCCCACAGTCAATTTCACCACACAACTAATCAGATTATTTAGATATATTAAACAAGTTACTTCAATGTAATTTTAAAACGTTTTGTATATTTACAAAAGCAGAATAAACTAATTCCTAGGTATGTACTCTAGGACTCAGCAGTTACCAAGTTTTGCCATGTTTTAGTTTCTAAAATATTTTAAAACAAACATCTAAATCACATTTTACCTCTACATCTTCTGCACCGCTCTCTTCTACGCATTTCTTTTAATGTACTGCATTCCCTCCTTACTCTTTCACTTTCAGCAATGACTTATGAAAAATGAGTCACCTTACTACAATTTTACTTTTGTTTAAATCACCTTCATCATTTAGTGTGCTTGCTCTATAGCTTTTGAATTAAACTAAATTTGCTAAGGTAGCAAAGGCCACGTGAACAGCAAACGATAGGGCTGGGGATTTAGCTCAGCGGTTCGGCGGCCTGCCTTGCAAGCACAAGGACCCGAGTTTGATCCCCGGTACAAAAAAAAAAAAAAAAAACCAAATGACAGCTCATGATGCCAATTTAAAGTGAACATGTATGCACTCAAGCGATCATACACTGTATACAGGGAAGAATAACAAAAAATGACCAATGTCTCAGCTTCTACATGCGTGGGCTCTTGTCCTAGACGTCCATGGAAAGGGGACTAAGTTGACACAAAGTGCCGAGACCCAGAAATGACTGCGGAGAGTAACTTTACCTTGTACTTTAGGAATCATATGACGTTTTACTAGTTTCTTACCTTCACCATGGTTGACACTGGATGAATCCTTGACAGATTTTTCAAGATGGACTCAATGAGGTCAGCCACGCTTAAGCCAATGGCCCAGTTGGTGTACCCTTTCAGCTTGATGACTTCATAGGCACTAAGGAAAAAATAAAGCATAAATGACCACTGAAACCAGACTCCCTGGCTTTGACTCCTGCTCGATTCCTTACTGCCTGTTAAACTTGGGCAAATCGTTAACATTTTTTGCCACAGTGTTGTTTTCAAGTAACGGTGTTTTCTATTTCGTAAGTATTTTTATGAGGGTTAAATGAATATACAAATATTCTTCACTGAAGGACCGACCTGACTAACGACTGTTAAAATGTACGGTTGAGCCATGCTATTCAGATTTATGACCTGCTGCTTGGATTTACAACATGCCATTTTTTTTTGACAGTTCAAAACACCTTGTTTTTAGAGCCTCAAAGCCTTTTTTTGGAAGGGGGGAATAGTACACTGTGTTTATACAGTATTGTAAGTTTTGCTGATTGTTGCTGTAGTTTTATGTTCTGCAATATATCACTGCAAGAAAGGGGAAAAGCAAAGTCATCAACTTGGCATTTTCTTTGACTTTTTCTTTGCTCTGAATAGTGTAAGGAATAGACTATATATAATTCCTCATTTTGCAATCCATTTATGTAATGATCCAGTCCCAGGAACAGAACTTGGTTGTTAAATGAGGAGTGTCTAACACCACAGGTAGAAAGTATAAGGCTGTCAGTACTACATGCAGGCAGCACACAAATATTTTGATAAATTTAAACAGCTAACTGTATAAGTATCTGTAAAGTCATATGGTAGAATGTGCACTTTCCAATCAATGTAACTTTTACATGAATGTATTTCCAAACAACTAAGGAAAAAAGCAAACAATGAAAGTAGAACAAAATGTGCCTTGACTGTGAGGTCCCCCTTGCCATTGTCACCTAATAGCACGATCAGCTAACTTGAGAAGTGATGACAATATCCTACCTGGCGATTTCCAGGTAAGAGTACAAATTATACACCTCACAGCTCACAAAGGCACTGATACCTGACAAGTAGCAGGAATCACTCTCATGAGTATCAGGAAATCAGGACTTAACGTACTCGGCCACTGACCAGAAGGTCTTCAGATTACATTACATGCAGTGAATGAGCCCTTGTTTTCTCATTTAGAAAAAAAACAGGATAATGGTCATTGAAATTCTAGTGACTGTTTCAACTTTAAAAAAATTATTTTTCTTTATACACAGGTCAAGTTCCTTTAAAAAAAATCATTAAAATTGAACTAAATAAAACTGTTCGACATTTGAGATAGCAGTTAGTCTTATTGCAAAAATTCCCTGCCAATAATAACATTTATTTTGAATATTTTATCAAAGAAAGGGTGTGGGGACATCTATAGTTGAGAGAGGAAAGGTAAGAACAGGTTGAATACTTTCAACAATCCATCCTCCAGTACTTTAGTCCACCATGAGACTTAGGAGGTTTATGTTTTTAATCTTTTAGGATAAATCAACCTTATCCAAAGATGGAAGGGAAGGTGAACATCCTTCTCACTAGTTAATTCTGAGTTCAGCTCTAGTTACCTTTATTACAACTGTTTCTACAGAGAAAATATTTGCTTTCCCTAGAGAGGCTGGCGTAGCAAATCTGACCAATCTGTCAATCCTGCATGCTTCCAAAGATAACTACGTACTAATGAAGTTTATGAGCAGGCAGCCATGAGAACTGTTTATAATTTTACCTAACTCAACAGCACATTAATCATTCTAAATCAAGTTCCCTTCCACTTACCTTTCCACCACCATCTTATGCACCTCCTTCCAGTTTTCACTATCGCTGTCTGTGCCCATTTCTGGGTTCAGTTCCTGGAGGGAAACACCTGCTACATTCACTCCGCTCCACACAGCCACTGTAAGAAAAAAGGAAAAGGAGGGGGGCAAGCATTTGAGGTGTTTCTGCTTTGTAAATCTTAGTTCAGATTTCACCTCTGATACAAGTTACTGACTCCCAGCTGGTACCGCACCAATGATAAGTGACTGACTCCCTGCACAGTATGCCATTTTGTGGGACATTTCTTCTTAGGTCTGCTTTGAAATGGCAACATGTCTGACCTTTTAATTTTCAACAAATTCGGCACACAATAAACTATGTGTCAAAGTTACAAGGAATATGGTATTTTTTAAAACTGTTTCTTGGTTTACAAAATCACGAGTCTAGCTTAGGACCATCCTAAACTTCTGATTTGAAAAATTTTAAATTTTCCTCCTGCTTATTGTTTTTTCTAATATAAGATTTTTTCTTCTAAAGTTAAAAAAATTGGATAAGACCTCAAAAAGTAGAATTATACCCACATAAAGTATAATTCTGAAAATGCAAAATAAATAAATAAATAAGGGTTACTTAAAGGGCTACAAATACAGTTATATGACCTGGATGCTGAAACTTAGATTATGTATCCCTGAGGGACCTTTGGAGTAGAACATGAAAGACTCAGGAAATACAAGCAAAAGCGTAAGTAAAGCCTAGTATTGCTAAAACAGCCATGAAGGAAAGCTGCTTATGAACAATAAAACTCTTCAGTACACAAGGTGTGAGAGGTCAAGCTAATTGAGGATGTTCACGATCCTTAATAAAATCTATGAAATCGGAGTGATCCTGCTTGTGTGATAATTCTTTTTCAGTTCATGGTAGACAGTATAGTTTAATATGGAAATTAATAAGAAAGAGATGAGAGTAAAAAGGAGTAAATGGTGAAGCAAATGAGAAAAAGGAACTAACTATACTATTTTAAAGGGCATAAACATAAAATTTAAAATCAAGAATTAAAAAGAGCAAGACCATAAGAACCTGGTAAATTTTTTTTTTTTTTTTTTACCACTTGAGTCGCCATGTTCTCCCAGAATCCATCCATGGCAACTGCTGGGATGAATGCCAAGTTTTTCAGCCATAAGATAGCGAAATCTAGCAGAATCCAGGTTGCATCCACTTCCAATCACACGGTGCTTGGGCAATCCACTTAGTTTCCAGGTAACGTATGTAAGAATGTCCACTAAATGTTTAAGAAAAAAAATACAGGTAAGCAAATCAAAACTGATTTCAATTAGTGGTTGCCCTAGCTTCCTCCTTCTGCATTCCCATATGAGATGTGGCCAGAACAATAGAAATATTTATTTCCTTGGGTCTGAGATATTGTTCAATTAACTACTGTGATCCACGAGGCATAAAAATGTTCTGTTTACTGGAGATCTATGCTGTATCCTTTGTTTCCATGTGGCACAACCCCACATCTCCACAGAGGTCCACCTGTCTAAAAATAAAAACCTAGGGGGCACAGAGGCTGGAGATGCAGCTCAGTGTAAAGGCCCTGCATTCAACCCTCTGTACTATTAAGTCAGTCAATCAGTGAAAGGAATGTGAGAAGCTGGAAATCAATCCTGCAGTCTCCACCTCCCTACTTACCTACAGACCCCGGCAAGATATTTTAAGGGTCTTTCGACGAGCTGATCTCGCTTCCCTGACAAATCTGATTCACTAGTGGTGACTCCCTGGCAAATTCGATTTCGGAGCTCTCCCTTGCAAGTTAAATAATCAGTTTGTGACATCTGCCTGAGACTCCGGAAGCAAAAACTTACAGCTATTTGTCCTTCTCATTCTATACCTATCTCCCAGATTTATATTTCTATATAAGACTAAATGATTTAGTAAGCCCCAATCTAGGTGTGTAGAGAGTAAGAATAATGCCAAAATAATTTCCACTGTTGCTGGTTCTCAACTCTCAATATTTAATAAACTGCAAGGGGTCCCTTCTTTCATTCTGTCTTTCCCTAACGTATCACCAGAGACAAATTGTTTTACCTTTCAGCAATAGCACTCCCACACTCACCAACATACAATAAGTTTGATGGCAAACAACACTGTTGACTTCAAACAAAAGAAGTGTGAAAGAAAATGAATTTTAATCACTTAGGCTGTCAAAAGACAAAGCCACAATTTAAATATCTTAATTGGCTTTTTTTTTCCCTAGAACCAGGGGATACTTTTGTCCATAAAACAAAGTAAATGTTGTATTGGGCTAAGCAGAAATGTTTGGTTTAACACATAAAGGATGAAGAAAACAGAAACAAAAGAACAGAAAGTGGAATTGGTTGTTTCAAAGTTACTTTCTTTTAAAGTGGGAACAAAACATTAGAAACTGATTGGTCAATATGGGGAATTTCAGATTCCCTCTTTTGCAAGAATTAAACAGCATGTCAACTGAACTGGCCCTTTGGGGAAATGTGGCTGTTATCTCCCTATTCCTGATTTATCATGGCAGATAAACGACTTGGTTTCAGCCTTGACATGAGTGACTCCACTTTGGCTTTTAGCCTGGTCTGTTGGAGCTCCACACAGAAGCTTAGTCCTAAACTTTGGCCTCCTATAATTTTTAATTAAAAAAGCTAGAGAAGGAGCATCATTTCCAGTAATAAATTTTAATGGTTTTTCTGCAGAAGTATTTAGCAAGGAAAGCGGTCTTTGTGTTACATTTGTCATTAACAACTTTTGTCTGTATTATTTTTAAAACCAAATTGATAACAGTAATATTTTTGAGTTCTCTTCAAATTCAGTCTTGATTCAGGTTCTAAAGACTTTAGAGGTAAGGATGCTAGAATGAGTTTCCCAAAAAAATAGGTCAAAATGTTTCTTACAAATTGAAGCCACATTTAAATCATTCATTCCCTCCATATTGTTTCCCAAAACAACCTTTTTAAATGAAGTATTAAAGCCCTATGGCTCTACAAAAAGCCAGATAAGGCAAAAAGATGAAGTTTCATCATCAACAAAACTATCCTTATATTTTGAACACCTGGCCTGGCACCCTGTTTGTTTTGTGAGCAAACAGAAGACGTGGGAACCACTGCTTTGAGTGAATAATGGGACTAATTTGAAGTCCAAAACATGAGAAGGCCCTCAAACACTGAACTTGATGGACAGGACCGAGACAGAAAGTGCAGTAAGAATACCTGGGTTGGAAACCACAATGATGATGCAGTCAGGACTGTACTTGACGATCTGAGGAATAATGAATTTAAAGACATTCACATTTCTCTGCACCAGGTTGAGGCGGCTCTCTCCTTCTTGCTGACGGACTCCAGCGGTGACCACCACAATCTTCGAATTGGCAGTCACAGAGTAATCTTGAAAAAGAAAGAGAAAAACAACCCTTAAATGTCCATTTCCATCAAAATATGCTGTATTCAAAGCGCTCTACAGCCTAACCAGAAAATGAGCTTCTAGAATTTAAGAATTACATTTTTTACTGGGCCTGCTGATGTGGGCCTGTAATCCCAGCACTCTGAGAGGCTGAGGCAGGAGGATTACAAATATGAGCCCAGCTTGGATGACTTAGGGAGACCGTCTCAAAATAAAAAATAAAAACAGGTTGAGGACGTAGCTAATTGCAAAGACCCTCAGTCCAATCCCTAGTACTACACAATACATAAACAGTTTTCCATATTAAAAGATTCTGAAGTACAATACTCCTGCAGCTACTTTTGTTTTCGAGTTACATGGAAGTAACCCAACTAAGATTAGGTCAGAAAAAGAAGTCAGGAAATAAAGTCGACCCTAAATTATGTGTGTATGGTTAAGAAATTCATTGGATTTTTAATAATACTGAAATGCTGACAGTGAGTAGGAAATCCAGTAAATAGACTTCCAACAGAAAATTTAAAAAATCAATTTGTGTTCTTAATTCAGTAAAATGAAAAAGCAGGCACTAAAAGAAATAAAAAATCAATTTAAAATTGCTTCTAGGTATACGATGCTATGTAGATCTATGGAGGAGAAAGAAGGCACTTTGCTTTTGGCTAGAAACTAAAACCATAGAGTGCTAATATTTAATATTTTGAGAGTTTCTTCACTTTTTAGCTATGAGTTTCCCTGAAGAATCTATCTATCTTTTTTGTGAAGGAAATGTCTCTTTTTTCAAAACATACAGACTTGAAAATTTAGTGTGGTCATTATGTGCAGCAGTCATAGTTGAGTTATATAATTAAACTGGTTGTGATGTGACTTTAGACACTCCTCTCCCGGGTAACAAGGAAAACTGTCTGCACCTCATGGGGCTGCTGTGAAGATGAAGCCAGATGAGCTAAAGCGTGGAAAATGCTTCCCCAGTACTCAGAATGTTAATGATTCCGTAAAAAGCAGCTATCAATACTTTCTTGAAGGCACCCAAACTACCACTACCAGTTAAAGAAGAAACTGCTGCCACTCAATGTACCAGGATGAGCAGTCATTTTCAGGCAAGAAATGAGAGGAGGAGGCTGGGAAAAGTGGGAAATGGAGGTTGCCCTCGGCTCTTGAACATCTGCGTAGGCCCTGCCAGAGGTCTGAATATAAATAAACCTGTACCAAAAGACAGGAAGTCTTTTAAAGAAATGAATAGGTTTCTTAGAAAAAAAACCCGTTTTGGAAACAAAGATAACTAGTGCAGCAGCGTGAAATGTGAGTACTTGATCAGCTTTCCCTTGTGTTTCCAGTGAGAAAATGTCCACTGGCTCTGCACATTTTAACGAGTTTCTAGGGATTGAAGCAGGAAAAGTGGCACACAGGAAAAACATAGTCGACACCAAACTAAGCCACACTGTGTGTAACAATTGGTTATTTTCTCTTAATGATACCTACCTAGGATCAATTTTGGCTAATGAATGTATTTCTAGTTACTGGCTATTAAGAAGCAAATGTAAACTTAATATATTAGGAATGAAAAGCAGAATCTCCTAAGGAAAGAAAAACAAATTTTTAGATTAAAAAGAGAATGAATTAGAAGGAAAATTTGAAAATTTGAAATTACTAAAACAGATCACGAACACTTGATTGTTTTGTTATATGTATTATAGCTCAGTAAGGCCATTTTAAAAAGGAACAAAAACACCACAGCTCAATGGGATGTGAACATTTGATTGTTAACAGTCACTGAAATAACTTCCAAATTTTCAAAATGACTTAATTAAGAAATGTTTAATACAACAGTAGAGTGTACGTTGCCTAGCATGTGCAAGGTCCTGGACTCCATACCCAGCACCACAAATCATAAAGAAATATGTAACAGCAGTAATAATTTAAGACTACCTTTATCTGCCACAATCTTGGATGTCTGAAGGAACAAGCTTCCATGCTGCAGATCCATCATTTCCCCTTTGAGTTTATCTTCCAAAACATCCACAAGAGCAAGTTCGTCAGCCAGAGACTATAAACACAAAAGCAGGTGTTAATACCCAGGGTGTGGCACAATCCAACTCAAAAAGAACTTGGCTAAGCACCAACTGGCTAAAACCCTCACAAACTTCACCCTGGAGTTAGGTCCTCCACCAGGATCCAATTTGCACGATATAACTGAGTTTCAGAACATGTAGGCTTGAAGATTTCTTAGGAAGCAGTCGTGGTTCCACAGTAGACAGAGACAGACTGAGACTAATCTACACCCAAAGCAGCCTTGGGAAGTTGTTGTCCAGGTATCATTGCAGTTCACAATTTCAGATTTGGTTTAAATCACTGAGGATGTGAGTTCGCTTTAGAGCAGGACCTGAGCTCCTGGTGAAGCTCAGAAAGCTAAGGTTAGCGCCGATCAATTCAGATGTCTTGGTGGGGAAAGAGGGAAAGTCTGACGGATGGCAGTGTCTAGTATCAGTATGTCTCATCCATCCAAACCTGCACCTCAGTCTCTCTTATCTTGGAGTTCTCATTTTCAGTTTCAACTGTCTATCATCGCTTTTCTGCCTCCACCACCAAAATAAATTCTGCATGAATAAATAAACTATTTTTCCAGTACTCAAGAGGCAGAGGCAAGAGGATCACTGTTGAATTCAAAGCTAACCTGGGCTACATAGTAAGTTCAGGACCAGCCTGAACTACAAAGTGAGACCTTGTCTCAAAACAAAACAAAACATAAATAAAATTCTTAAATAAAAATAAACTAATCTTGACAGAGCATTACAATTTTCTATGTTCTCTAATAGTGGGAGGAAAAAAAAAAGCCAACCAAAAGATTCTCCCTTTCAGAAATAAGTCAGTTCTTCAGCAAGTCCTAGATCTTCTTGTAAGAGGAGATGGTTCTATTTAAATGCATCTAACTAACCTTTCTGCTTTGATATTCCTTTCTACTATGGAAGCCTATAATTTACAAGCTAATTAAAAAGTAGATAACCTTCCTTTTGCAACACCACTAAAGACTTGGCCTCTATGGTTTTCTAGGGCTGTTAACAAGATAATCGGTAATGTATCCATGCTGGAATTCACTTTCAAATGTAAATGCCTCCGCTGAGGACAGCAGTGTGATCTAGTGCAGGAGCACACAGGTGAAGGGGTTAACTTAACCATGAAAAGGTAGGTCACTGGGTTCGGGAATGGGCCTCAAAGGATCCGGTGAAGCAGCCCAGGTTGGAGTGGAGCCGGAGGAAGGCAAGGCCAGCAGGGAGGAGAAACACAGAGAAGAGTTAGCCAGTAAGTGAACTTGACCTACTGACATTGGCTTGCCACACCAAACAGCTCCTGCTTCCGGTGCGAGAAGTGAGAATAACAAGAGTCCCCAGGGGCGAGAATGCTGAGTTGCTGGTGAGCCTCAAAAGGTGACTTCCAGGAGGCTTGCTGGTGAGGGCTTAAGAGTTTCCTTGGGACTGAATGGGTTCTCACTCAGTTCTATGCAACCCAACTGGAGTACTTGCCAGTGCTTGGAAGGACCGATTCCAAGTTGGGGAATACTTAGAAACTATTTTCTCATTTCTGTGTAGTCATTTCGTCTAGGGATTCTGCATTTGTGAAATCAACCTCACATCAAAAATATTTTTTTGAAAAAATCTGCAATTGTGGTACACAGGTACAGGTTTAGTATGTAGACTGTTTTCAGTATTATAAGTAATCAAGATGCTTAAAGTATACAGGAGGATATGTGTAGCTTATATGCAAAAACTATATCATTTTATATAATATCCTTAAGGATGCTTGGATTTAGGTATCTATGGGGATCTTGGAACCAAACTCCCGGAGATGCGAGGTGTTACCTATCAAATACCAGCATTAACTGTGATCCAATTTTACTTAAAACTGTGACATTCCTTGACAGTCTCTGAGAAGGTCACACATATTCCTCTTTTGTATTTAAGTCCATAATGAATACCACATAGCTTAAAAATAGTAACAGAATTCTGTGAAGGTGCTAAGCACTAGAAATATCTATCAGTCTTATTTCAGGAACACCACATGGGTTGCTGGACAACTGAACAGCACAACTCAGGGCTTAAGTAGGAGAGGATGTCACAGGAACTCAGATACTACTTTCAGTGGGTGTGATGAGCTGGCCGAGAAGAGCATGTTTAGCTGGCTAGGAAGGAAACGATCCAACACTTAAAAAAAACAAAACAGAACTGCAGTGCTGAATTTACTTGGATCCGCGTGACTGAATGTCCTCCAAGGACAGAGGAACACAAATAAAGGATGTTTGGCCAAGTATTAATACTGCAGTTTGTCTCCAATCTGCCTCTTTATTCACATGTTTAACAGCCCATGAATTTACCTTATACGTATTTCACCTTGAAATTGTTTAAAATAGCAAAAGCAGTAATCTCATTAAGAAGCAAGGTCAGTTAGAAGGCAAGAATATCACTGTTGAAATCTTGTTTAATCTGTAACAAAACCGGTTTTAATCTCAAATTCAATGGGGATCAGGCACAGCCTGTAACTGCCACCAATGTCTTAATATTCTGTAGCTACATTTTTATATTCAAGTTTCCAGTCTAGTATGCAGGAAATTTTGTGGGAGGAAAAGGTATAATTTCTTTTTCAAATAATTAACTAGCTGGACAAGTGCCACTTATTCAATAATATGTTTTTCTTCCTCTTTGAATGTAACTTTTACCTTATTATGATTATAATTCTGGTTCACTTTGGGCTCCTACTCTGTTCCACATATCTATCCTTGTACAAAGTACACATTTTAACTTAAGTACCACTTTTTTGGGAGGTAGGTGGGTATTTTGAGACAGGGTCTTACTATGAAGTTCAGGCTGGCTTTAAACTCTTGGTGATCCTCCGACTTCAGCCACCCAAGCTCTGGGATTGCAGATATGTGCCACCATGCCCAGCATGGATCACTTTTAAGTCAACCTTTGCACTGCAAAAACTACTCTGCAACATTACTGCATTGTTTATTACCACAAGAACAGTGCCTACAACTGACTGAAGGAAAGACAGACACCCAAAGCCCCAGGGTGATGGTACTCATCTGTAATCCCAGCACTCAGAAGGCTGAGGCAGGAGGATCACACATTCAAGGCCAGTCAGGGCTACGTACTGCATAATGAGGCCCTGCCTGGAAAACTAAACCAAAACAAACAAAAAGACACGCAAACCAAATTAGTGGGGCATGGAGGTTTGGGCTCCTGATAATCTTGCCAGGAGGCTCTGTAGGACCCTGTCCACACGGTGGGGTTGGCACACAAGTGAGGGCAACTTCATACTGAGCAGCAGAAGCCACGAGAAAGCAAACTGACAAAACTGAGGTGCCATTTATCAGTAGTGACAGGAGCACTCCTTAGTTTAATAAATATTTACTAACAAGTAGAGCAGGCATTTTCCTACTCCTCAGGATCAGAGTGGGGAACAAAGTCAGTGGTCCTCAGGCTCCTGGAATGTACCAGCAAGGGGTGGGAACTAAACCAACAAGGTGAGGTGACTTTGCTGCAAGAACATCAAGGTGATGCGAAAGGAACTCAGAACCTCGGGGAAGACCTTTCTGCACCAGAACCATGGGAGTCGGCTGTTGGATTAAAGCTCCCTGCAGCTGTTATATAAGCCATGGGGGTGCACTGTGTGGGCAAAAGCAGGAAAAGAACCTCACATCTAAATGGAGCCTAGCGAGGGTGGACGCCTGCTCCCCCTAATCTGATCCCACAACCGGCCCCTTCTGGTAACGTGGCAATGCGTGTCCCCTAAAACACATGAGTCACCGGCTCAGAAAGGCCAGAGCTGGGGCTTGGTTGTCACTGTCACCTATTCAACTTGCTGAGCCCTTGTGGAGTTTATTCCCCAACATAATACAGAGATGACAACAACACAATAGGTTTCAGGGAGGAATAAATGAAAAACACAAACACCTGGCGAAGGGTGTAGCTAGTACTTCATCCACACATTTACATTTTAACAGCTTACACAATGGCATAGGGAATAAGACACCAGAGAGCCACTCAGTTAGATCTCAAAGTCCTGGTTGCAAAATGCACCTGGTCCCTATCTTACCATGGTCTGACTTACAGTTTTGTCTTGACCTGTAAGGTTGGAAAAGCGCAGACATCCAATGAGAAGCACACTCTGAACTGTGCAAGTGAATCTTTTAAGATTTTGTCTTTTTGTTTAATCTTTTGAAAACATTTTTTATCGGTACATTTTGGATATACATAATCATCACATTCATCATAGGCTGTGTGTACACGATGTATCTCACTGGTGCTTTTGTTCCTATTTCCCTCTCCAACCTTCAACCTCTCCTTCCCCTCCTTATTTACAAAATCTTTGTTTCCGTTTTTTTTTTCCTTCCAGTCTCTCTGGCTCTTTTGTATGTAGATCTTGTCCTGGCCTAGTGACACACAGGTCTGCGCTCTGCGGGTGACACTGAGAGGAACAGGGAGCAGCAGGTCCCCTGGTACTGTGTCCTACGGGCATCGGGTTGCTTAGCTGCAACGTTCAGCAGGTCGGGTATTAAATGCATTTGGAGTCATAATTAATATTTTAAGTTTATGGGTGTATCCTTGACTTAAGCTCTTAGCACTACCAGCGGTGTGACTGTGGACAGGCTATGCCATTTTTTTAGCCTCAGCAATCTTACCTGAAGCAAGGGCATGAAGAATTCCCCTCTCCCAATGGTTTCATATGAAGCATTTTATTTAAAATACTTTCAATATAGTACATGTTCTATATATGCTTTTTAAAAGAAGTATGCACCGAAATACTTGTTTTTACTGAAAGGAATGGGGAACACTATATTGTGATTTAAGTTCCTCATAATTTGAGAAGCAGCTACATCAAATTACAGGCACCTAGACAATTAATAGTGGCTGGGCCAGGCATAGTGACACATGCCTATAATCCTAGCTACCCAGGAGGCTGAGGCAAGAAATCAAAAGTTCAAGGCCACCTGGGGGCAACTTAAGTTGACCCTTCTCAAAATAAAAACATTTTCAAAAGGCTCAGTGGTGGGCTGAGGATTTAGTTCGGTGGCACTGTGCCTGCCTTGTAAGCACAAGGTCCTGAATTAAATACCCGG